GCTTCTCTAAACAGATCCTCGTCTGCAAGCCCTGTGATGCTTGGGTTGACATCCTTCAGTACCTTGAGTCTCCTCAAGCGAGACAGGTTAGATGATGCATTTCCCAACAGCCTGATTGCATCTTTTAGGCATGCAGAGGCCTCTTCAAGGGACAATGCTCTCTCAGACGAACTCTCTGAGTTCATTGAGACCAACAGCCGGATCAATGGCCCTATAGGATCGTGAATAAAGGCCTGGATCCTGGATAGATCTGCATCTGCAGATTTAGTCTCCTTGCTGATAGCAGAGGGAGTTTTAAATAGTGGGTCCAAGCGCGGGCATCTAGTCTCCATCAAACTTGGACACGGGAATGAGCTTTTCAACTTCCTACGTTCCATGTTAGGAAGGGTAGAAGTGAAGGCAGAGACCAGGAAGGCTCTATCTTCCTCTGATAGAGATAAGGCAACGGCAGCTGGAGTTTCCTCCTGCTCGTTGTCCTCCTCATGGTCGGACCAGCCTAATGCAGCAGGTGGCAAGTCATCAAGGTCAGTGTTGCCTTCCCTGTCTGCCCAGTCTCTTACTCTGTGGTGGATCGCCCTCTTCTTGGGTGGTGGCCCAGCCTTACTACTAGACTCCAGAGACTGGACTCTAGCAGAGACATCATTAATGGAGTCATTGAGGGATGATTCCATCCTCTGCAATAACTTCATTATAGCTTGGTTCGAGGCGCACCTTTTCCTGCGACTATGCACAGTTTTGGGGCGCCTCTTAGTCTTAGCAGGGCTCTGCCTGCTGCTGTAGCTAGATTCCGACGAAGAAGGGGAATCTGGCAAACTTGAGCTTGAATTCATAATGAAATGGCGCGGTCGGAGTTAGAAAAAAGGCCAATGAGGTCAAGGCGTGGGGCAGCTTATATAGCCAATGTGTGGCCCCACCCATAGGTGGAGTGAGTTACCGTAAATTCTTTTTATTACTACAAACTAACTGAAATTTAGAAAACTAGGCCAAACACCATTGATATGTGAGACTGAGCCTTCTGAATTATAATAATGTGCATGTATGTACGTGTGAATTGAATTAAAAATACATACCATTTGTCGGGAAGCCGTTGGTAATTGGATCATTGTTGTTACCAGAGACTGTCAGACCTCCATCATCAACATCAGTATCTGTGAGAGAGAGAGAGGGAGAGAGAGACAGAGAGACAGAGGAGTATATTATTAATGATACATAATATTTACTTGGAGAATATTTCATGTATTAATACTAGTCCAGCTGTATGTAATTTAAATATACTGTATAAACTAATAAATGAAATATACTGAGAGAGAAAATAATATTTTAATTAATATACATCAAATCTCGTAAGAATACGCCCACACTAATTATCCCATCAATCACCTTATCCTAATAATAGTAACAATATTAATAATACATTAATTACATCAGTATTACATCATTTGTTTCTTTTAGTTTATTAATCAGTAGCCATGTACCAAATGTCTCTGGAGACTGAGACAGACTCATTGCTTGATGATCTATCGCTCGTCTCAAACCATCAGACCAACCTGTGATCACGTGATCAGTGAGTAGTGTCACGTGACTGTATACCTTGTGATATATCAGGAAGATTGGTTGCTTCTGATACTAACTGATAGAGATATATAAAGAGATAGTGTTTGGATTATTTACTTCTTCTAATAGTCTCTCAAAGTCAACGTGTGTCTCCATTACACTCAGCATATCTTTTATAATACTGTCCATCACTAAACACATGCTACCACGTGTTTAGTTCAGAATTTCAAATTTTATCAAAAGGCGTGGTTTGCTTAAAATTTAAAGTAATACGGCACAAGCTTTTCGGGTGGGGCTCATAAATCAGGGTGGGGCTCAGACTGTGAGGTTGACCTTTTGGATTTAGACTCGGATTTAAAGAACTAGAGGAATGTATTATATTTCCTTAATACCTCACAAGTCACTGCATTTATTACAGTTATTGTTGTCTGGTCTGCTCTAGGGTCTTATAAGAAAGGAAGAGGTACATACACGCAGGATCTTTTCTCTAATATCTATGGCACAAGGCATATGAAAAAATAGGCATGGCTTGAAAGTGGAAATTGATTTTATAGAATGCACTCCTGTATTAGGAAATATATAAAACTTTAAGAATCTTTTATATGGGCGGAGTGAGACTAGGAAGAGCTTTTTGGACTCGTGTTAATTAGACTCGTGTTAATTCCTAATCAATATCTCTTTTACTGAGCTCTCCTGAGTTATAATTCTTTTTAAGCTTTGAGAAAAAGGTAATTTATTTAGCTCCGTTGTATTTTAATAGCAATTTGTGGTAGCAAAAGCTGAATATTTTCAAGAATAGACCACTTTTCCTAGCCAAATCTTTGTGTTTCACTCTATTTGGTCAAGATTAGCATTGATAGGTAGAGAAAAGTACCTAGATTAAAAAATATGTGGGAATTTTCTAATCTCTTTTTGTTTGCAAGTTACAGTTGCTCAAAGTTTGTGATTTAGCCTCTTCAAAAAATTTTCAGGCAGCACTGGGGAAAGCAGGAGCAACCAAACTATCTCAGTCTCTTTTAAATATCTAGGCAATTTTTTTTTAAATAGAGCTTCAGATACTAAAATAAATTTCAGCTTTTCTTCTTTCTCCTAGCCACATGCCATGTTTATCTGCACTTAGGGGTGTCCCAATTATGCTAATTTTT